TCGAGACACTGACTCTCAAACTTGGCCAGTATTTTTGACTCTTACTCACCGTAGTCGTGTTAAGAAATATTCTTCTATTGTGCTCAGTCCCAACCCAATAATTGCCAGTTGTTTTGTCTTTTCCAATCTGAGAATCCTCATTCTGTCTTACTTCAGGTGGTTGTCAAGGTGAGAAAAATAGTAAATACTACTTGTAACCTTTGTAATCACGATTATTGATTAAACCAGTTATGAATTTAGTTATCCACAGAAGTCTAAACTCACACTGTCTTAATTAGGGGTTGTTATCCGAGAAAATAGTACATTCGTTTTAGTCGCACTAACATACTTTTGAACATTCCCAAATTTCTAGCTAAAAATATTTCTGTTTCCTACTCGATTTGAACTCACATTTTGACACGGATTTTTACAACGGAATAAACCTGGTGAACTCTGACCGATGACTACAAAGTAGTAACCTAAAATTTTATGTAATGTTGACGTTACTAACGATTGACCTTCTTATTTTTGTGGATTTATAAACAGAAGAACACGTGCACACAAAGTCCACACTTGTTTCACATTAACAAACGTAACTTCACTCCATCCAAAACAGTGAATTACATTTTTACGACCAGCGTCTGCTGGTGGACCAAATGGACATATCTTCTGTGTGCTCCTTGGTTTTAACCGAAACTCGGACGTCGAAGATAAGTGTCGGCTCGAGTCCGGAGATTTATACACTCTGGTGTCTCTCTGTAGATGAAGATCGTTCAAAACACTGCATGTGAGTTGTATTGACGTTCTGTTTTCGTACATCATGAAGTCGATACACAACACAAGGCCACTGACATCTGGACTTGCAGACGTAGACTGTGCTCCGGATTCTTCGCCAGGTCTGTGTCATTTCGTCTTCGAGGACTGAAGGAAAATTACTTTGGTAAAGGGTGGGGTTGTGACACTCTCCACTCTCCAAATCACACAAGTCTTCCTAACACGCAGAGAAGAGAAGTCTTGTCCTAGGTTGAGAGAGAGAACTGGCCATAACCTTCCGTTTTACCTACTGACAAGAACCAAGCACGAAGACGAGATTGTTCACAACTTCCTTTACATGACTTCGTAGTAAACATTTTAGCTGACGTACAACAAAAAGAGACAGAAACCAATTTTCTCCTGTAAGAATTGTGGAAGTTCATTCAAGAGAAGATCCACACTTAAATTTTATATGTACCCACAAGTGTTTAATCCTGCTAATGTCGACAATGAGTGCTGGAAAGACAAAAAACATAAACGCCGTCAAACCAATCTAGTCGGAAGTGGAAAATTATAGCTCAGATCTCTCCGCCTAAGAAATACTAAGAGAAGTCCAAGTATAGTCAATACATCGACCAGAGATGAACACCTGACAAGAGGTACGAAATTACCAAGTTTACTTTCGAGAAATAAAAGAGTATGACGCACACGAACGATCGGGAAGAAAGTGGGAGGACAGTACTTCTGGTCCGGGTCAGCGAGACTAACAATCGAACGCCTGAACGATTTCCGATTCACCGCCCTTTTAGAATTTAGTGCCAATGGAAAACAACCAACCTTCGCGATCGTTACTTTTCTCTGCCTAATGACACCTACGTGATTTTAGAAGGTGTTTCATTTTTTGTTCAGGTTTACCGCCGGAAATTCCCGCCCCGCTTCAACATCAAACAACTTTATTGAAACTACCCTGATTTTTATAGGAGTATTCCGAAGAATGCAAAAGGAAAAGAACTAAATCCCTGATATCACCCTTTGTAGCCTCTAACCTGGATCGTGCAGGACCCCTTTAATTACACAATATTATGTATGCGACCAGGGGTAGTTTTATTTTATTATCACACTTCTAGTCCATTCTTTCCTCGCCTCGTCTCACCAAAAGACGTAATACTTGGGCAATTCCAAAGCTCGTGCACACCTGAGGTCCACAGGGAGAGACTCTCGCCTCTTAGTCTGACACCAAAGGCAGAACTACTAAATTTTGTCCGCACTATTCACCCTTGTGTGGACACTTACCATGATTAAGTTCTCCCTTTGTTATAGATGGTAGACTATGTAGTGGACACCTTCCATTTACTTGTAATGGTAGTTGTAAGCATGTTTATCTCGCTTAATTTTCACCAGTAAAATATTGTTGTACAAAAAGAATATGTAAAATCTCTAGTTGACCAATCACAACAGAGCCGGCCAGCTAACCAATCAGAGCAGATTGGGCTCTGGGTTCAGACAGAGGGTGAAAAGAGGTGCTGCAGCACAGACAATATGAGAAAAATAAAGAGCTTTTTGAACATTAAAGCATAGAGACATGTCCCAGTAGAGACACTACATACTGATATGAACCTGAGAATGAGCTAATATGTCCTCTCTTTACTCTATTAAAGGTCCCATGTCATGCTTTTCCGGTTATTACCCGTCCCCTTGTGTGTCATGTAGGTTTTTATGCATGTAAACGGTCTACAGAGTCAAAAACCCTCAAAGTACACCCTGTAGCGAGTAAAAATCTAACACAGAAAAGACCTCCCCAAAACGCCTCGTTGGAGATTTCTAATTTTCTTCCTGGGTATCACTACGTAGGGATACCCAGTAGCAGCGCCCAGAGCTATGAAGCACCCTCTGCCAGCCTTTCACGAAACAAAGCTTCCCAGTGTGAGGGAGCGGAATTTACGGCAGGTAACCTGAAACAAACTAAATGAACACCTTTCTTATCACGGTAGTCATACATAGGGAGGAGAAAAGATAACCGATCGCGAGGTTTTACATGCACTATCTCTTCAGGGCGGGGAATCGGATTCGGGGCTGCCTGGCGATGCTCTCTCGTGGCCAGCGCCTTAGTCTCTGTACTCATGTGTCACTGAGGCGTCCAAGGGGACGAGCGGTGTGTCACGCAGGATGCGATGTCGTTCGGCCCATTAGGCGGCCGCGTTGAGAGTCAGCATTTTTCGTGTCCTTCGTCTCTACCCATCATCCTTGTGCGTCCCGACTCGACTGGAACAAGACACGGAGTCCCCTCGGCATTCTTGTCCATGTCGCGTCGCTAGCGTGGAAGTTGGGGACCGTTAAACCCCCTAAATCCCTGCTACGTTCCCCGATCGGTCACCCACTGACCGTTTTCCCGTCCTCTTCAGACTTACGTAACCACTCCCACCTGTATTAGGAAGATCTTGTAGTCGACAGGCGGTCCCCGGAGAATAGTTCTACACAGGCTCGGTCTCTCTGCCCTACACCATGGGAGCGAACATGACTGTGGAGACAGAAATACGTCAAGGAGGAGATAATGTAGCGCGTCGTAAAGCATTGTCCTGAAATGGTCGCGGTCATGTGTCTGACATATTCGTAGAATGTGCATTCTGACCGCAATCACAAGACTAACAATTTGTTATCGCAAATCCTCTTTGTGTGTTAGCAGAAGTCACGGGATGCGACATGTTATTAGGCCGTACTTAAGT